AGTTTAGTTTAATTAATTAGTTTAATCTTTTTCTTCGAAAGATCGACGAGCTTTCAGAATTTTAATGATTTGATCGATAACAATATTTTTGATATCATAGATAAGAAAATAGATATCTCGATGATCTCGATGGATGAATTTTTTAATTTTGTTTTATTTTTTTCTTCGAAAAGTGAAGCGAGCGAATGGAGTATCTGGTTGCATTGAAATTTACAAGTTTTTGATTATTTTATTAAACTTTTTAACAATATTGGAGGGTTGATAAATATTGTTGTACCTCGATTTTTTCACGAGAGAAATATGTAATTCTTTTTTTTTTTNTTTTTTTTTTTTTTTTGGGAAAATTTAAGAAAGAATTAACCGGACCATTTTTAAAAATGAAACATATTCTCGTAACATAATTCTGAAGTCAATTTGGCCGTACGAATTTTTTTATATTTATTCTAATCTCTCACGTGCTCTACTTTATCTTTCATAACTGTTTTTCCATTCTAAAGATGGAGTTGATGATCAAGCCCCTATGTCGGTATGGAAGATTCAAATAAGAAGCAAGAATATATCCATGTGTATATTCTATATAATAATTATTGGAATAATCATCAATATTCTGAAATCTTTTCAATCACGTGTGCCTATCCTGTTTTCAATTTCATTTCACAAGTATTCAATTCGACACGTTGCTCGTGTTCATTCAAATATTATTACAATTTAAAAGAAGGAAAAAAAAATTTTTATTCTCTCAAAATTCTAATCTCTGATATTCTAATTTATGATTAAAAAATATTCGCATTAAGAAGAAGAAGGAAATAAATAATTTGCAAATATATTAAATAACGAGCAACGCGTTAATAACACCAACAATGTCCAGTTTATAAAATTTATAATATGGGAAAGAAATAATTAATTTCGAAACGCAACGCGGTTAGCCAACTTATATTAATGTTAATAATTATGAGTAAAGTAAAATACGCTATGGTACACTTATTTATGTCATTTTTCCTTTACAAGGAGAAAAATCAATAAGAATAACGGTGACGGTGCTACGATATAATGCTTTTCGTCTCGTTTCCGCTTTCTCGATGCTTCCACTCGAAAGAAAAGGGGATACATGATAATAATAAAATAATTCGATCGCGAAGAATGCTATAAAAGTGAACGCAAATTACAAATATAATCGCATCCATGATGCTAATACAACGTTGATAATAAAAAATAAAATAAAGATACTTATAGAATCGTCGTGTGGGAAAGGAAGAAAATATGACTATATACGATCTAGTCTAAGTATAATAAGAAATATTTTTCTTCTCTGTTGGTCCCCTTTCGGTACGAATTTCGTTTTAATAATTGAAACCTTCTCGATATACGTTTATTATTTTTTTTTTTCTTTTCTTCATAAATACTCGTCCATTTTACACTTTCTACAAAAATTCATATTATTATACTATATATAAACGTAGAGAATTACACGTAACATCGTGCAACACATTAAATACAATTTTATATAATATATTAAACTTAATTAATCCTTACAAAATAGAAAAATGGTTACAAAATCGTTTAAATATAAAAATCTAAAGGAAAAAAAAAATCGTTAAATTATTCAACGTCAAGATCGAAGGATTCGACTCACCGTTCACCGTTCGGGCATCGATCTCTCGTTCCTCGGAAATAAATCGCTCGTACCGAAAGGGTTGGAAAAACATTGTGCACTGTGTGTACTGCTGAGTATATTGTCGACTTAAACCCGATTGACTCGACTCTTTGCACTTTTGAATTATTGTTCTTAATATTTTGCCGATAATTTTGACAACGCTAATCGAAAAGAAAAAAAAAGAAGAAAAAAGAAAATAAAAGAAAACAGATAAAAAGATACGACAGACCAAATTGAAAATTAAGTTCAACGTATGTTAAAGAAAATTGAGATTTCACGGTAAAGAACGAAAGTGCAAAGGGCTCGATCATGCTCTATAGAAGTAGAAAATTCGTTTGCCTCGAATAAATCGTGGTGTCCGGAAAGTGCGATAAGAACAATCGATCGATAAAGAATAAATCCGGCGAATGATCTCGCGCCAGATCGTTCGTGACGACGAATAAATATACATACGACTTAAATACTGGCAGTGGAAGATGTAATACAGTTATCCGCAGAGTAGGTACACATTTTTTTTTTTTTTTTAAATATTACGCGAAACATTAAGAGGGACTTAAGTTAGTTAGTCGAACGAATCACGCCACCCCGATGAAAAACAATCGCCTAAAAATCATCATCGTCGACGCTCGATCATTTTAAATAATCCGCTCATACAAAAATAATTACGCGCTCCTCTTTCCTCGGGCATCGTTCGAGGGGGGTCTCGATCGTTCCCGAGAATCACTTTAATTAATTACGCTCGCTTTCTTCTCCATTCTAAAAATTCGTCATTTCTACAAATGGCCGCCCAATCTCTCGACCTGTTTTTCCCTTTCGAACAACTGACACCTAGATGGTGCGATTCGCACGATAGAACCTCGAATAACAGTACCTTAGGCCGTGGAATGAAAGAATCGAGGCTCAGCGAGTCGCTTTCTCGTCTCTCGCTTCGAGACACTTTTCATCACCCTTAATCATTTCTTGCCTTTTGCTATACGTCGCGAGAGGGAACCATTTTAGATTTATTTACAGATTTTTTTTTTTTAGAATTTACTCGAAGCTGCTCTTTTTTTGTATAGATAGAAAATCGTATAGAACGTGTTTGCAGTTTTATCGATAATCGCCAATGTTGCAACGAAACTAATGATAAAGGAGGCAAGAAACGCACAGTACGCTTTTTTCTTTTTCTTTTTTTTTTTTTTTTCTTACACATTACATATACTCTTTTCCCCATTGCTAAATACCGAGAGGTTAACTCCTCGTAGAAATAGTAGCTTAAACGATAATTAGAGATAATTAAAATAAGTAGTAAACGAAACGAAACGGAATCGAAATGATGGAAATTGTTCTGTTTGATTGACCATTTTTCGATTGATCATTCGATGTTTGCCCGTGTATACGTATACGTATGTGTGTGTGTGTGTGTGTGTGTGTGTGTGTGTGTGTGTGTGTGTCTGTTTAATACATATTATGCCAGATACCGATCATCATTTTCTGTGAACATAACTGCCTGTTCGAGAACTTGTTTGTTATTTCGTTACTCAAACGTTTACTCAGAGGACAATAGACCTAACAAACCGTCGAGTTTTCACGATTAACTGGGAAAATTTTGTTCAGAGAAACACGAAAACTCCTTGCACCGTTTCTTCTTCTTATACTTAACTTAGCGACTGTCTTTTACACACGCTGCTCGCTTTCTCTTAATCTCTTTCATTCGTCGATTTGCGCCCGATTAGTTACAATTACAAATAGTCAGGATACGGAAAATAGTTGCGCCAAGCTCACCGCGCTCTAGCCTAAGCTTTCATCCGTTTCCCGGGGTGGAAACGTTTCGAATTGCGGAAATTCCCATCTCTCGGATTAAATTCTCGTTCGTGAAACCGAGAAACCGAAGCTTGCGCGACACCGAACATACAACGAAGGTTGAGAATTTAGGTTCGAAACAACAACGTCCCCCTAGACGATCGATTTTCGAAAAATTGTTCGCCGTGTTACTTCATCGAGCTATATAATATTAATAATAATAATAATAATAATAATAATAAAATTCCCTCCCCGTTCGACGATGCTCGGCGGGGCACGAGTCGAAGGAGAAGGAAATTCTCCCGAGAGATCGACAATCGTTAAGCGTTCGTGAATACAAAAATTGATCTTGTCTTAACTTCACCCACTACCATCCACCACCGATCGTAATCCATTATTAGATCTATTTCACACTGAGCGAACGATTCATGCGCGTCGTATCGAAGGGAGTAATGGTCGGGGAACACGTTTTTGCGTCGTTTTGTTCGTGGTTCTCCACCAATTTTCCACTCCCCGATCGAGTCGAATCGATACGTCGATTAATATAATATATACCTAGCCCTGTAGTTCTTCAGTTCCTCCTCATCATCTTTAGATCCTCACGCACGCACAATATAATATCTTTCTTTCCACGTTTCGAATAATAATATCACACTGAGCCGGCTGTGTGCTGTTTTTCTTTTCTTCTTCCTTTTGCGAGTGTGTGTGTGTGTGTGTATCCATTCTTTTTCTTTTTCAATATTTTCTTTTTCATCTTCTTCTTCTTTTTCGTTCGGCCTGGCAGTCCCGTGGCCCCGCACGACTTCGTCACGCGCCGAGGAGGACTCGCAACCACGGATCCGCGATCGACACTCGCCACATCACCCGTGCGCGTAGAAAGTTCGAATTGGGACACTGTCTCAGCGGTTCTCGGGGGTTTCCTCTCGGTCTCGATACGTCTCGACGCTTATTTATGGAACACCTGTGGCGCTCGGCGTGTTTCGGTCCTGGCTAGTAGCATTTCCGGGTGCACGTGCATTTGCGCACCAGGTCGACGTCCTTCGTGTACCGCATCCCGTCGGCGCAGATCAGTCGCACCTGTCGTAATCAACGCGTTCGATTATTATTATTATTCTTATTTTAAGGAAAAAAGTGAAAATTTAGGACGAGTAGAGTTGTTTGACGAAATCGAGATGGGTACAAGTTACGAAATGTTCGATGTTGAGTATTCGATCGTACCTTGCGCCGTTTCGTTTTCCTCGGCAGACAGCAAGAGTTGCCACAACTACCCCAACACTTGGCAAGTTTTACTGGTCGTCGACTCCGACATCCGTTCTCGCTATAATACTCCCTGGTGTGCTCCTTGCGACACGTCGGTGCTGCAACAGAAATATATATATATATATATATACTAAAATTTCTGACTCGACATTCTGCATTGAATTTTTTTCTTTAAAATATTTCTTTCTTAATTTATTAAATATCGTGTAATTATTTGTTTTCAAACTACAAATCACACCACGAATCTTCGTGAATACCTTTCTCGCAATACCGTCCTTGCCACCCAGTTTGACACCGGCACGTATACCCATTTCCGATCGGCGATGGCACGCACTGTGACCCCTTCCTGCACTCGTGTCCCGTACACGGATCGGAAATTATCGTGCCAGGCCCCGTCATAACGATGTCTGCAACCAAAGTATCATCGTGTGTCGTCAAATGAGCGCGCCCTTCTTTCAACCCTTTCGTTTCTCTCGAAACGTAGCATCGGTATTTCGTTTTTATCGTCGATTTCTTTTTTTCAATAAACACCGTCGAAGCAACTCGAATCGCCAGGCCATCTTTCTCGAGCGGAGAAGCGAAAGGGTTAATAGGAATTATTATCTCGAATGCACGCAGGATTCGATATTATTCGATGTTGTCTTTCAATATTACAACGTCGTATCGCTTGTCATTCCGTGAATATCATGCGATGAATAAGTGATCGTGTACCGGAATGCTCGTGAGCCATGCTCTCTTGCGGCAATGATTCCTCGTTGCTGCTGCTGCCCATAATTCCTTCCGCTTCCACGACGTCCCGTGCCTCGTCAGCTTCTTCCTCGTTTGACATGCATCCGGGAGTTACGCGATGCATCTTCGCTGCATTGCTGAAGTCTACCAACTTGTGATTGATCCACATCTCCGAGATGCAGCCTTGAGCAGGGATAGGAGAGGAAATTGTTGAACGTGATTGATTGAACCAACTTTTAAATCGATTTTAAACGTCTCTTAAAGAGAGAACGTATCGCTAGTAAATTATTTTAACTCGATTACATTTTATTAGAATTTCAAGAGAGCTATAACTTTGAAGATTGTAATTTTAAACTTGATAAAAAGAATGGAATCTCGATCTTTAAAACGATTTATCTCGATACGACTTTTGATTCCTGAGATATATAAAAAAGAAAACTCGGATCTTGTCTCAGAAAAAGTACACAGATCGCTAATCGTTCATAATCATGAAAATTTTGAGTCCTTATTTCGATATTTCAACAGAGTATTTTTTAATTTCTTCTTCACGTGTATCGAAAATTCCAGATTGGAAACGTACCGGAAATCGAACGAATTTCATTTCTCGTTGCAACAAACAATTCAGATCTACAACTATATTAAAAAAAAATGTATTCCTTTCCGATAAAAGATATAAGACGTTACCTTGAAAGCTGGTGATGTTCCGCAGATGAAACTCCGTGAACGCGATGTTGGCGACTTCCGGCGCGACGCCGCCAACGTACATAGGCGTGACGAGTTTCAGGTACTCCTTGGGACCCTCGTTGATAATGCTCCTAGCCGCACCATTGTCGACCCTCATCGTGAAATTCTTTTTGACCGCGAGAAGCTCGGCCACGTGAGGCTTACCATCGGCGACCATTTCGTAACTGTACATCGTCGATGTTGGATAATTGCCAACGTCGTACGAGACCCTTACACGGCCGTTGAACAACTCGACGGCTATGTGATCCCCGTTCTGCCCGTTGTAGAGGAGGACCCCGTTCTCCTGCGTGGTCGTGAACACGATGGTCACGTTCGCTTCAGGCCTCGTGCGTAGCGGCTCCAGCTCGACCAGCGAGCTGTTGTCCACGAAGCTCAAACTCGTCAGGTACTCGCATCGTTTTCCTTCAATTGCATTTTCTTTCATCACTATATATATTTTCGTATATACAACTTTTCTATATTACTTATTATTCGCACGATTTTATAGCAAGCTTGTCCATGCTATTTTATTTTATTATTATATTTGTGAATAATTACATTCGAGGGGGACTCTTGTTACTCCGATTCCCAATTCTTCTAAAGAGTTAATATTTACTAATTTCACTGTTTCCAAAGTTTCGTTTATTCGTTTTACCTCAGACATAACGAGCGTTTGGTTCACAACACCCGTTGACTCGATTAGAACGAGAAGAAAAGTGAAAATACATATTTCTACTGAAAGAATTGACTCACCGGTGTAGCCGGGGTGGCACTGGCAAAGGTAGTCCGCGGCGGAGGCGGGAGCAGGTTGGAAGCAAGCACCGTGCTGACAGTCATGGTGCGCACACGGACTAGTTTGCGGGTAGAGCATGACTGTCGATGGTGCGGCCTCGCAATATCTCCCCGTATAATCCGCCGCGCACTTACACTCGTAATTGTTTATGCCGTCGATGCAAGTAGCACCGTTCTAACAAGGGGAACGAAAGAATTTTATTGCCTGGAAGTGAAAAGTGGATGGTCGAAGGAGGGGACAGAATACCTGGCACATATGATCAACGCAGTCATCCAGGTTGGTGGAGCAATTAAGCCCCGTGAAGCCGATTGGGCATTCGCAGCTATAGTGGGTCCCGTGGTCGACGCACCGGCCCCCGTTCTCGCAGGGGTCGTGCCCTTTTGTGCAAAAGGGTATCTTCTCCTCGCAGTACTCGCCCATGAATCCTGGGGCGCACTCGCATCTGTAGGCTTGTACGAGGTCGACGCAGGTTGAGTTATTCGCGCACTTGTTGTCCTCGCAGTCGTCGACGTTGTTCTCGCATCGAAGTCCCTTGTACCCGGGGGCGCAGTCGCAACTGTCGCACACCGACTGATCGTCAATCGAGACATTGACCATGACCTTCGATCGCGGTATATCCGCCAATCGATCTTGTCACGCGCAACCGATCTATCCACGAACGTATCCTCCCAAACGTTTCATTATTCGTTTCATTATTTTTTCACAATTTTTCTTTTCAACTTGTTACGACAAATATTGTTATCGAAAAGTATATTTTTTATTTTCGTTTGTAATGGGGAAAATAATAAATATTAGAATTTGGAGGAAGAAGTTAATAATATTACGGGTACGCGATTGGTTTATGTTTTTATGTGTTGCGATACGATTTAATAGGAGTATTTTTTGGAATTAAGTAATGCTCGATTATTGCTTGGAAAGAATTACCGAATTATAATCGGTTCGTCGATAGATCGTTACGTGTACTGTTCGGGGCTCACGTGCAGAGGTCCCGTTTTATTTATTCATAAAACAGTGCACGCTTTTTGTACGTGCAATTTACTGCTACTGAAACTACATTTCATACTCTACTTATACGTTAAATAGCGCTTTTACAATGCAAATACGCTTCTCCCCCGCTTATATTTCGGAATATACATCAACAATATTAACTCTTCCTCGATGCATGTTTGTAAATTAGAAAAAAAAGAAAAAGTATAATAACCCGCCAGTGGGGGGGTTCGATTCATAATCATCGACTCATACTACTGCGGACAACTGAAATAACTTTGGTCAACTTTCATAGCGACTGTATCCAGTAGCGATATTTCAACAATTCTCACGATCGATGCAGTACAGCTACAATAGATACTCAATACTATTGTCTCGCCAAAATACTTTTTCTCGTGCACGTCTACCTTATCTCCGACCAACACTACTGCCTTCCGTACGCAGAAGGTTTGAACGAAATCAATCGAGCTACAGCAAATGCACAGATTTATATTCTCTGATATCGATATCCACGGAATTCTAATCCAACTACATCGATTTTCAACAAACAAATAAATAAATAAATCTCTAAAAGAATCTGTAAAATCAGAACTTTTTTGCTACGAGAAACGAAATATGCATACGTACATGTCTGTCTTTAATCACGATCAAATGAATCGAAAATAAAACAAACAAACAAATGAAAAAAAAGAGAGAGAAACGAAAAAAGAAGAATAAATACGGTTCGATTAGAATTCATTGGCGGATCTCAATTCTACGGGCACCACTGAACGAGCACATAATAAATTAGACCCGAACGAGCTGGCCAAAAATATTCTCTCTACTTTATTTTAGTCAAGACGTTTGATACCTGAATCTTCCTTCTTCCAATACTTTACAAGTTCCGGTGTTCCCGCAAGGATTTCCATAGCACGCGTCAATTTTATGTTCACACCTGTCCCCATGATATCCTGGCGCGCACTTGCAACGGAACTTCCGGTCCGGGAGCGCCTCGCAAAATCCTCCGTTCTGGCATGGCGAGGTGTAGCACAGGTCGCACTTGGCCAAGACCTCGGCTGGCTGTTGGTTGGCTGCGCGGAAGAAAGGTCTACGATTAATGAGCAATTTTAGTACCCCATTGTGACAACGGGCCAAAAAACCATGAACTAAACAGACTGATTCACCATTGAGGCCATTGAGAAATCAAAAACATATGCACGTGCGATTTACATTCGGCCGATCGTTGGATCGATAGCGGCCGGCTCATTGAAATTCCTTCCAAATCTTTCAATCGATCAGGTTTTTCCAAAATCTTGGACCGACTTTTTTTCACTCTCAAATTATTATAAATATCTCTTTATCGAGCAATACGAGGATAATTAAACGAAATTTTAATTGAAATTATTAAACAAAAGTAACGATGATGTAATATTTATTCGGAATAGTAAAATAGTAGGGATAACTATTTTAAATATAATACAAAAAAAAAAATAGAGATAACAAAAAATTTGAACGATAAAATATCGCAACTACTCGTTCACCAGTTATTCGAATAGAATAAATTCTATTGGAAAACCACCCTTCAGCTATAAACCGATCGGCGTGGCAAATATATACACGCGTATATAAAATTCGCAGTTCGAATCAATTGCTCGAGCAAAACCTGATCCCCGCAGCCGGCCACTTTCGCCACGATCGCGATATCTGTCGAGGAAATACATACTTTTGCATTGGAATGCGGTCGCAGGTGTCGTGAGCAACAGCTTGTCCCTCATCGCTGGGGGCTCCATACATCTCGCTATACCTGCCTCCACGTAATCCTTTTTCACCCATTCGGCCAGCCATCGCATGCTGCAGTCGCAGTAGAGCGGGTTGGACCCAAGAGCGCTGTAAACACGCGTGCATACAGGATTGGTGAGTTATCGACAGTCTCAGGAAAGCAATGCGTTCGCTTTCGCGAGGGAGGTGGGCGGGTGGTACTCACAGGTGGGTTATAGATTGAAGATCCTCGAACGCCCCCTCCGGGATCACCGATATGTCGTTACCGTGCAGAGACCTGGATTTTAAATGATCGTTATTGGATCGATGGTGAAACGAAGTTAAAGTTTCTATCCTTTTAAATTAATTCTATAAACGGTGAATTAATATAAAAAGATGGCAATTTTACACGGTGATTCGAGGAAAAATTACGTATGTATTCTCAAAATTATAAATATATTTTTATTTAAGATAAGATCGAGTATTTTGATGGATGGAATTTATGAAAGAATTTTTGTTCTTTTCTTGTTATCACGAGAACTATCAAAATTATCGAGACGAGGCTTTGATTTTGATTATATTTATTTATTATATATCTAGATTTAAAAATGAATGAAATTAATTTCGAATGGATTTCATATTTTTTTTTCCTTTCCAATCACTTTAATACAATAACACCTGGATGCCTTCGATAAAATTAAATATATCGAGCCAAAGGCATTAAGGTTGTTAAAAACGTATTCAATTCGTGTAATTTGGTTTTTAAACGTGGAAGAAAATTTGATTATATCGGAACATTTCGCGAGAGAATAAACGGTTTTTTGTTCTGTTATGTTAATTTTACAACGTGAATATTCAACTGCTAATGCCCTGACGTTAATTTTATTTTAAAACGACGTTAAAATCGTACATACAGATAATTCCCTTTTGATGGAAATTTGAATATTCTTTATTGGATGCGCACCAATAAAATGTTCTGTCTTATTGCGTGTTTTTACACCGCGAAAACTGCTAACGAGCAGTTAAATTCGTATGGAAATTAAGATAAAATCGGACAATTTGCTTTTTCAATACTAAAATTATACACGTACAATTCGGCCATTTGGCGGTACCATTTGGCCAAGGATTAACACAAAGTTTCAAATTGTTGTCGTATCTTACCCTGCATCTCGTTACACAACATTCGTTAAATGCGCAATTCAATACAATCATTATCAATTAATAAAACCGATATTATTAAACCAATATTATCATAGAATTCGTAGCTGGTGACCAAATGATTATTTGTTAATACGATAAACTCCCCCTCTCCCCTCCCCCTCCCCTCCCCTTGAAATCAGTAATAATTTCCAATGAACCTGGCAACGTCGATCCCGATAAATCGTTCACTTCAAATAGTTTAACGTATACGCGGTGATGATTCGACGAATTAATTATAATAATTACGGTGATAAAGAACGATCGTTCCTCAAATTACCCGCATCAAGAAATTAATAACGGAATAAACGTTGCGATTGATAAATCATTGCACGATTGCACGATCGATAAATTGTCACACACACATATCCTCGTTTTCGCCTTTGTTTATTTCATTATCGAAAACTTGATGCGCGCCCCATTAACGCATCCCCATTACATCTATGCGATATAAAGATATAAAGAGCGGGAAAGCATACGGAAAAATGATCCACCACTTTCGTTTATTTCGAATCATTTTTCGCATTCTGTGTACGATTTGTGAGAAATCGATGCGATCTCGAGATGTATGAAAAGGAACGGTGTTAAATCTAGCTATTGTTCGAGGATAGAATTATGCGATTCGAAACTCACATTATCCGCAGCGATTTCAAGCCGGCCAGAGCGTTACGTTGGACGCATTGTAACTTATTGTAGCTGATAATTCTGGAAATTCATCGAAATTATGGGTTAATATCTCGACGATAAATTTGCGAGAAATATTGGGATATCGAATATCTTTTTAAACGAGTTAAATTATATAAACGGTACAACGCGTTTGAATAAAAATAACACGATCGTTTTGTCAAAACGATCTATCCTTATTGTACATTTTAAGAAAGACGATCTGTTGCAAATTGAATAGGATAACATTTTCGAACATTTTCAATTTTTACGAAAGATATCAAAATATCAAGTAAAGAAAGTTTTGTCAAAACGATCTATCCTTATTGTACATTTTAAAGAAAACGATCTGTTGGAAATTGAATAGGATAACAAAGATATCAAGAATAAAGAAAAATATAAAAACTCACAAATGGGACAATTTGGTGAGATTTCTGAAGGTATCGTTGGACAGCATTCCGATCTGATTGTTGCTCAGGTCCCTGAAAAAAAAGAAAGGGGACGAAATTTCAAATCTTCCTTTCCCTTTTCTTCGTCGAGGAGGAAACGCGTGTATTTTATTTACAATCTTGTGAGAATCCTCAGGTGGTTCAGCCTCTCTGGCTGGATCGTCTTGATGTCGTTCACGTCCAAATACAGTTCGGTGGTTTCCGGCGGAATCCCACGTGGAATCTCCGTAAGCTGAGATCTCGAACATCTCACCACCGAGCCGGCGCAATTACATTGGGGTGGACAGTAATCGTCTCCCAGGCAACCCACGCTGTCGTCTGCGGTTCGTAAAGTAACGATCGATCGTTAATCTCACGATCTCAAATTCGTGCGCAGATCCAAGGAGAGACTCCTTCCCCACCGACAACAGTATTGCCGATGGGATTATATAAGGATTTGAACTCGTTGATTTTTAATTTAATTACTTAGAAAAGATAAATTGAAAAAATTAAAATTTAACTCAAAGTTAAAAAAATATGTGTGCCATACGAAGGATCTTGGTTCAAAGTGGGGAATATTGCTAATAACCGCTTAGAAACTGGTTAAGGAACTCAAAGTATCGAAATATAATTTAATACAAAATAATTTTACATTCAATTACAATTTGTCCAGCAATAGACAATGTTCCTCCACGATTCATTCTTTTCTAAACGCGAACTTATCGAGACGAAATTTTTAATTTACGAAATGAAACGAAAAGAAAAAAAAAATTGCAAACTCACTGTTGCATTTGAACTCGTGATGAGGGATATCTTTGACGATCGCATCTTTCAATCTTGGCGGGTCGTGGCAGTGTCCAACGACGCCGGACAGCGGCGTTTCGCGTTTCCTCAGCCATCCGGCGAACCACGCGAGATGACAATTACACGACAAAGGATTGCCTTGCATGTTGCTGAAAATGCGGAGCAATTTATTAGACTGCTATTAATTATGCGCGCGTAAGCGCACGAAATATATTTTACGGTGTGGGGGAGGAGGTATGTCAACCGGGGGGATGGAAATAGCGCTCTACTATACACACGTAATAATTAATGAATCCATATCGTTGTCTCGTTAATATTGATGAACCGTAATTCATATAATCATTCTATAATACTAATCCGATTAAATATTCGCGTTTTAATACGGCAATCGCGTCTCTCTCTCGTACGAGAAATTCGTTCTCGTTACGATCATTGATTCTCGTGTTTTACTTTCGGAATCGTTTCTACGTATGTCGCCGTTTAAACGATTAATTATAAATTAACTTCGTTACACGATGATTAAATACGTATAGTAAGTACGAACTTCTCGATCATACCGTTTTCACTCGATTATTAAATCGAATCACGTTTTAATCCTATTTCATCGTATATTTTACGGCGATGATTTTTACTTTAAAGAAATTCTTTTCTTCACGCGACTTTTTCCGATGTTGCAAGCAATAAGATGATTCTTTAAGAGCAGGCTTTTTTCAGATTTTATTCGTCGTTTTGTTATATATTTTTACTCGAAATTACGGATAGATTGAAAATTAAATCGAGGATCAATCGTTCGATTTCATTTGAAAAGAATCGTTCGAAAACCAGAATCGATAACTTCTTATTTTCTCGCAACAATTTTCATATTCTTTTCCACTATTTATGCTCACAAAAATACTTTTTTCCCCGATTCAGCAAATTCGGAACAAGTTCAGAATAACGATAATAGAAGGTCGATAATATCTATAACCAATTTCGATAAATCCCGATAAAGTTTGCGATATTATTTCGAGACGGAAATTCAATAAACGATTTCACGTTCGAGAAAGAAAGAGAGGATCGAATTTTCGCGTTTGAAGGAAAGAGAATCTAGCCTGGGATGCGGTGTCGTTATACTTACATGGTGCGTATATGCGTCAATCCGTCGAACGAGCCTTGCATAACGCAGGTTATGGCATTCCCGTGCAGGTTCCTGTGAAAATCACGTTTCCAGGGATAGTTTATTGTATATTGCGGTATATATACACGGCGGAATGAATGCCGTTTTATGAGCGGGCATAAAAGTTTCTACTCACAGGGTCTTAAGATTCGTCAGCCCGGTGAACATCTTGTTGTGAACCTCCCTCAGCCTGTTCTCCGACAACAATCTACGAAACGAGGGCTCGTTATTGAATGACTCGGGGAGAGTACAAGTATGATTACGAAATATTAAAGAGAAAAGAAAGGGGAGTCTCTCCTCTGATGGGCTAGCAGCGGCGTTGGGTATCGATGATTGCACTGTGCCATGGAAATTATTATTGCCGCGCTATTCCTATTTTTTTTTTTTCGATGAAATAAACGATTTGGAAGAAGGAGGAAAGGGAATAATCGAAAACACTCCAACTTCGAATCTACCTTTGACGGAGTGAAATTTTCTTTGGAGAAAAAAAATTGGAAATTCTTTGGAAATTCTTTCTTCGCCGAATGGAGGAGAGGATTCCATTCTTGGAAGGGAGAGAATTTCGCGAATACCTTCGATTCAAATGTATATTTCAATTCAAAAATATTATCATCGTTTTTCCTTGAGGGGCGCGCGTCATTTCGATTCATGCTCGAGCCATACTCGTAGCCCGTACTAAAATACACACGGGAGTAACATCCCACCCTCCGCCCCTCCGGCTATCTAATTAATCGACCCATTGTCCCGTTAATTGCCTTTGAAAATTAAATCCTATTCTGCTTCGTTAAAGCTCGTTTCAAAGTCCCGATCGAGTTAGGCACAAATAACGCAAGTAATCTCGACTCTGTCTGAATACGGCCCCGTTATTCGAAACTTTCTCATCTAGAGAAACGTTTCGGGGGAAGGAAAAACAATAATAATAAAAAAAAAGAAATAATTGTCTATTTTGAACAGCGTTTGTAAATTGTCTCGTTTTCTAAAAGGAATTAAGATATTCGATTAATTAATTTTCGAATGAAAATTGGATTATTGTACAGAGAGTAGAGTATAATTTCCTCTTATAATATTCTAAACTTTATTATTCAAGTTTCTAATTAAGCGATAATAAATTTAAGAAATTACTTTGGAAATTAATAAGAAGCTAAAACTTGAGGTAAAATTAGATTCGAAATACTTGTTTAATTTATATACCAAAATTTCCTCGATAAATCATAGAATACCATTAAACTATCTTAAATTAATTCGAAAGAATTTCCATCCTCTCTCAACAATCTTTCATTCCACGAAATTGAAATTTTTTCAAAATATATTATCGTCCAACATTAATAATAATAATTGCTTCTCGATTGAAAATAATTCTCGATCGTTGAAAATAAAATTCAGGGGAGGGAGGAAAAGGAAAAGAAAAAAAAAAAAAAAAAAACTTAACAAATCGGTTAGCTTGTGAGCGCCCTGAAACGAGGATGCCTCGATGCGCGATATCTTGTTCTTCCTAAGGTCCAAATGCTGCAACTCGGGCAACTTCTCGAACAGGCCATCAGCTTTGATCTTATCCAGCTCGTTGTTGGCCAACAGCCTGGCCAACAAGAAAACGGGCGAGAAAGTTAGAAGTCTATCCTTGGCGGCAGACACTCGAGCCGAGCAATTAATCGCGCTATAGGGCGTCGATCCATTAAACGAGCTCGAATAATTTATTTCGAATAATAGCTCGACGATTCATTGTTGGACTCCCCCGATCGTACCCGGACCGGACTTTTGATCAGATAATTATCTTGTCGGCCGTTTGAATTAATTTTCTCGCGCCAAGGAGAAAACGAAGGGATTCGTCACGATCGACCGACCAGGTCGATACTTTCTTTCTTTCTAATCCGATGATATCCGATTCTTTGTTGAAACGATCGATCGATATTGTTAGATGATCGTGAACACTTTTTTCGAATTACTCGATTTTAATTGATATTATAATAATTAATTGGACAAATTAGATTAGAAGGAATTTCGATTATCCAAGATATAATGGAAACAAAAGAATTTTCGATGAAAACGAGTTCGATCTCAAAGAATTGAATTGAAATTTAAATAATAAACGAAAATAATAAGTTTGAAGTTAGGATTCTTTTAATGTTATAATTTAGAGAAATAAAAAGCTTACTCACAGGGTGGACGTGTAAATAGGCAATTCCTTCGGTATGGAAGTCAGCTTCTTGTTCGAACAATCGACGGTTGCTCCGTTGCAAACACATGGATCTGGACACTCTCCAGGCAGGATACACTCGCCTGCTCTCTTCGTCAAGAGCTCCTCGTCGCCTAAGTACAAACAGCCGGATACAAAATCTACTTCAAACAATCTGGTCTGATCTGCCTTTCCTTCTCAGGGCCACAGAGCGTCGCTCTCGTGAATGAATCAATGATTAAAGCGCTTGAAAACGCAACATCGTGTCTGAAATTGCTAATCTTAATTAGTACGGCTACTTCGTGTACCGATATGTGATGATGATTTTCGCTTCGATCGAAAATACGTCTCGACAAATGACAAATAATAACAACAATTATTATAATTAGTAATAATAATTATCGTTATTGGAAAAAGTTTTAATTATAAATAATGTACAATCGTTATCGCGAAGCGATCTGTATATCGAAGAGTACTTTAATCATCGACGAAAAAGTTTGATCTATTTTCCTATATATAATAATTCTGAATTCGAACGGAATCTTCTTTATAATATCTGACTTCAGAGTTTAGAGATGGATTTCGTTATGGATTCGTTACGTTATCACTGCCAACATCGACGAACCAAAGTATAACCCGATGCTACACGCTGTCAGCTTTTACTCACGAAATAACACGTACTGTCACGTTAATGGCCCTCAGGCTTTTATAAAGTAGAAATTGCGGTACCATTATAGCAGCACTCAACTCCAATTTATTATACAAAAAACGTAACAATGTATTAGGGAACTATCTAATCCGCGAATATTATCAGGATGGAAAATGTGCCAACTTTTAACGAGCGAAAGAAAATACAATATCAAGTTATTGATCGCGTTAAGGAAATGGTCGAGCATGGTCAAAGATTTGCTTACGTGTTCTGCATGCTCTAAATAGACAGATTTCTATATTGAGAAGTATAAATATAAATTTTTAAATATAATCATCCAGATATATTGGATTGCTTCTATAGTTGAAATTAGGCCAGGTTTGGCTTTAAGTTTAGGTTAAATTCAGATTAGGCTAGATTATTTCTTAGTTCAAATTAGTTCGGGTTAAGTTCAGCAAAGTAAACAGAATTCTGGGGGAGCATCGTTGCATTCTGCGCAATCTTCGAGTTTCAAACTATTCTCTAATCGTCCCCAATCCCAATTATCGAAGCAAAGGCAAAGATTCTTACATTAGATTCGTCTCGTAAGTTTCGTAAGCGTTATACATTTTGTCGATTCTAATTATGAGGAGAAATCGGGGAAGACCCGGGGAGAAAGTGGCCACGCGACACCGCGTGTAGACCGTTATTAAACGCGGGACGCAAATTACCGATATAATTACGCGCGTGTATCGCGGCGGACAATTTGTAATGCGGCGTATAATGCGATGATAAATCACCTGCGCGCGCGTACTCATACATAAACATATTCACCTCGTGAGCACCGTGACATTCAACACTCAATTAACGTGTGAGAGAGACGCAAAACGAGCGCATGGCATCCCGTCGATGCTTAATTTAATGATATCGCCGCTACTACCGCTGTTCATTATCAAAATTTATCGCGGCCGACGTTAACAAGGTAACCCCCGTTGCGAGCCAATCTTCGACTTCAATTAATCCCTTCCGATTCCGCTCAAATTTTCACAACTTTCCGTTCCGCCATTCAAATATCTTCCTTCTCATATTTTTGAAACAATAATGTGACATACTTATTTGCACGCACCCAAAAAATGATTGGCAAAACGCTCTTGTAAATATCGGATAATTTATTAATAATTTAAAAATTAAAATTTCATTTTAAAGTTTCCGCGAGATTGAAATACTTCTTTCTCACATTCTTGGAATAATAATATGAGTATTTATTTACACACATCCAAAGAATGATTGGCAAAGCGCTCTTGTGAATATGGAATAAAGTTTATTAATAATTTAAAAATTGATTGGCGAAATGCTCTTACTCCAAATACAATCGGATAATTCATTAATAATAATTTAAGGATTAAAATTGTAAAGCGAATTTCTTTTCGATGAATCTTTCAAGCTCTCTTAAATTACTTCTTAAAGTCGTTCAGATCAAACGATTCGAACGAGTTTGTTTGGAAAAAGTTGGAAATGAGGCAAAATGATGAGGCGGAGGATAGAAGGCGTGCATGTGCGGGAAATTCTTAAGGCGTGCGTATTCGAGACATTAGCAACAAGAAGGAAGATCGTGCTTTTCCTTTTCACGCCGTTATATTTCACCTAATTACACTTAGCCGAGCAGAATGTAATCTCGTTCTTCCTCCTCTCCCCTCCCCTCCCCCCTCCCGCCCCCCTCGTTGTTTCGTGCGCCGGGCAAATGACACCGGAAAATAAACACTTGGCTGGCACGCACGTTGTGTAGTCGCGCATTATCGTAACGCCACCCGTTTCCGGTAAACGAGAACATACTATCCCATCCTCCCCCCCCCAGTGAATGTAAAATTTCCCGGGAACTTTTGCAATTTTTAGAAAAAAATTTAGATGAAACACTTGAACGCTCCTTCCTTTTTCAAAAGGAATTTGAATTAAACGTTTGATAACGTTTGTGCGATAAAAAGTACCTCGTTGACGAAACCGTTTAATTACAAAGACGTAATGATAATAATCTGGAAACAGTGTTTTCCGACGATTCACTTTTCAGAGTTTGCTATCTCGTTTCGTGATATTAAGATAACTCTTGCAATACGAGGCAAAAAGGAAAATAGAATAAAAATGATCGAATGAATTATATACCAAGTGTATCATTTTGTAGAATGTAGACGATGAAATTGTTAAAATTTACATCGTAGCATTAGATTGGAAATCGTTGATCCAGAGAAATTATATTGATAAGGAAAAGAAAAATATTGCTGTTTAATATTGAAATTATTCTTTGGAAAAGTTTAATCGATCGATTTAACGGTCGAGAGGATTGTAAAAATATTTTCAATACAAATCACTGACCCATTTCTTAACACGCATCATGAGCGACGATCTCTCTGTTCAGCCAAAAGATGGAAAAATATCCTACTGCATTACCGGCTTGTACGTATCCGTGTGTTCCGTCGTTGCGTTTAAGAGAGAAATATGAAAGAAATCGGGTCGTGCTTACCCTTACATTTGAACTTGTCGTCCCGCATCGAATCGATCTTCCGCTTCTGCGCCCTCTTCGGCGACTCGCACTTGGCTCCCGACGTCTCGATGGGATGCGCGTGAAGATACGCGTTCAGCCATCGTAGGTTGCAGTCGCAGATGAACGGGTTCCTTGCCAAATGTCTGTGTGGAGAAAATTTTATTTCGTGAAAATCCTCGTCGATCCAAAACGTTCGATTCTCTCGTTCGACTCGATCATACTCGTTATCGAAATTAAATATATTAAATATCGAATATTTTTAAATATCCGAGAAATTAAATTTTGGAATCTTCTCAAAATTGTGCACAAAAACTGAATATTCTACTTTCTACGATATACTAACTACAAATACCATTTAAAAAAGCTTTAATTCAAAAATACTCGCAATGGAACGTAAAACAATAACATTGAGAATTTCCAAAATATCTGAACACTCTTTCCACCGCAACTATCCTCTAATACGTATCAATTAATTACCGTACAATTATCCCCTAATAGTCTAAAACGAATAATATCATTAAACGGACGTATAACGAGATTAATTCGAACAGAATCGAACAATTTGCCTGTACGTAACGCGGTGGAGCGCGAAAACGTTGAAAGAGTGTCAATCAGCGAACAATCGAGAGCTCGAATATTCCGCGAGTTTCGTGGTATACACACGGCCGTGTGACACGCGTTTGCAATTCGATCCCCCCCCCCCCCCTCTCTCTCTC